TATAGTGCTGATTTTAAAATTTATGTTCTAATTATCAGTCAGTGGTGCCAAATGATCTACAAGGAAGTTTGAATTATACTAAGAGAAGCTGAATGTTTGTGTTCCTCCACCTTTCGTTACAAGAGGCATTTGTTTCTTTTACAAGTTGGAATAATCCTTAGATCCAAACTCACACTGTATTAACAGCTCCTCTGTTAAGCCTGATGCTCAGGCTTTGTCCTGAAACTGGAGCAATGCTGAAAGCAGAAATGTTTTTAAAACCTGCTGTTACACAAGGCAAATTCTTATCAATACAGAAAATGTCTGTCTTGGTGCGTGTAACGGCTTTATCCTCAGGGGGCATGGATTCAAGTGGAAGTGTTTCTGGCAGCTGTAGGAGGGGGTACTGTAGAGATTTACAAAGATGGACATTTATGAAACTGAAAATTCTCTGTTCTTCCAAGCTTTTTAAAATGAAACAGATCTGATCCTATACAAAAAAATGAACTAAGTTCATATTTTTCTTATTTTTTTCTCAGTCCAAACATATCTTAAAACATGAATAAATTGCTGTTAAATAAAAGTAAATGCAGCAAAATAGTCTAATTCACTTATTTTTTAATATTCTAGGGAAACTAATATGGGACTACAAAATAATAGAAGGATATCCTTGTATTTCAGCTAAAATGTCTGAAAATAGATAATGAAGTTAAAGGCATAGCAATGAAGCTTTTCTCTCTCAGTCTGTAAGGTGCTTGAATATTAACTGAAACTGGAACTTGAACAAGTAAAACTCATACAGATAAAAGCAAATCCCAAAAAATAGTCTATATCTCCCTTTGCTTCCAATGAAATATTTGCCTGTGTCTGCAAATCTCCTCATTTGGCAGCCACACCTATTACAGTTTAAACTCTCACTGGCATCAGCAAAAAATTACCTGATTAGGGATGCAGGATTGGATCTAAGATAATAACATATTAAAAATCCACTATGGATTCAAAAGCTACTAATGGAAATTAAATCCCTGAGAATATAAAACATTCCAAACTGTCGAACAGTTTCCATTGTACATACTCAGAATGCTAAACAATAGCAGCTATTGCATGTGTGACCATCAGGAAACACAGCTGTGCTTCTTTGTGTTACAATTAATTACTTCCGTTGTATATAAAATTGAAAGTATTGGTACTCTGGGGCGGAAAAAGGATATCCTGATACACTGCTCCTATTTCCTTACTGAGGCCTATTACTGAATGTTTCACCATTAATTCACTTACAATGAATTACCCTGCACGGAATAAAGGAAGGGTAGATTGGGTGGTTAATTGTTATGCTAAAAGCTACTTTTTCTTTGGATTTTCACTCTCATACATTTTCTACATTATCTCATTTTACTACTTTTGCATATGCCCTCTTTGATAGGAATTGTTCACTTTTAATTAGTTGCACGTTATAATAAAGGTCTAAAATAAACATTTACTTCATCTTTTTATCTTTTTACTTGAAGATTGTTCTATTAATATTTCTTAAGTTACAAGATCAGAGGAAGCACAATCTTTCTCTCTGTCCTTTAAAAAAAAATGAACAAAATCATCTCAACTGAAGTATTTGTGGCCAGGTTCTCTGAAGCTGGCACACAGAGATGTAATTTATACCTTTCTGTGCCAGTGAATATTCCTAAGCTGGAGGGAAATGAGGATTGTTACCCAGAGTTAGGGAGGAGTAGTAACAACCCTCTGTTATGCATTCTTTTTTTTTTTTTTCTTGAGAATTGCATAAGAAAAAAAACTGTTTGAGGTTGTACTAAATAGGCAAATATGGACCCTAAGGAAATACACTACCCCAAACTTTAATATCTACTTTTTAATAACATTGACTCTTTCTTTTTAGAGACCTTCTAAACAGAGAGCAGCTTCTGTGACTCCTTAGGAAGTCAATGAAGTCTCCAGCAAAAACCAGCCCTGTAAGTCTATAAAAGGTGGATAATGTGTTCTGTGTTTGTCTCCGAGGATTTAATTTCTCAGGATGTGTCTCCTACCTAGAAGTCTCAGTCCTTCACCTTTCACCACCAGACTGTTTCCAATCCGTTCTAGGATGGCAAACACAAAGCTGAATAAGTTACACGTGGAAAACATGGAGTCCTTCAATGTGAGAATAAGTAAATTTTGCCAAATGAGCTGAAACCTTTGCAAGTTTGAATTCAGGCCGGTGTCATGATGCAGCAACAGGAGAATAGCAGCTCAGAAGAGCTCCCATTCCAGAAACTGCTTTACATAATAAAAATTGCAGAAAATCACCATCCACAAACCAGCCCTGTTGTCCTTTTGCTGCAGCAGCTGGCACTGGGAATACAATCTCAAAGGCAAACTGTGCTCTGCCATTATTTCATAACCAAACAGTTCAGATTCAGGTATGCTCTGAGACCACAGCTAGAGCCAGCATCCCTGGCTAGCAGTTTGGGTTTCTTGCAAGGACTTTCTGGCCAGAACTAGATGCTGTGTAGTGTACATGCAATAAAGCAGAAACTTTCAATTAGTGTCATCTATGTTGTGCATCCACAATAAATCTCAGGAAGTCTGGTATTTGCAGGTTGCAGTGGGGCTGAATGCACTCACATGAGCAGCAGAGCCCACTCTATCACCTTTTACCCCACAGCTTACAGGCCTGTGAAAGGAACAGGAACTCTGCATGTGCATTAATCACAGGGAAATTTAAAACATCCTTGGAATCAGTACAGAGAAAAATTTGCAGGAAGAAAATCTGTCAAGGAATGTGCAGGGGACAGCTGAAGAATATTTTGTTGTGAAAGAACAATACCTGGTCTTTGTTTATAATACACAAATAAAAATTGTATTCCTGAAATCCTATTTTTTATATGAAGCCAGATTTTTGGAAAGTGTGCCCTTTTTTCTGCTCCCACATCTCCAGTGCTATCAAAATCGTGGAGTTGTTACTTCATAAAGCAAAAATACCTAACAGATAACAAAACCCAGGTCTCAAGGTGCACTCAGATTTGTGTATTATTCTTAAGCTATATATAGTAAATGGACTAGATGACAATTTAGGCTCAAATAGTGCAGGTTTGAAACATATGGACTTAAAGGAAATCAGAATCTCAGTTCTGAGTGTTTTAATCCACATATATGTCCCATACATGCAGGAATACATATAGGAATGCTTACATTAGTCAACATGAAGATTTCTTTAAATGAAAATAAACATTGATCCCAGCATTATTTTCCTGTCTACATATGATTAGATCTTAAAAGAACTTAAACACTGTAAATCATTCTTTTGTTTTGAAATGAAATCTTTAATTAAGGCTATAGATATTCCTTAAAGCTCCTAAAAATCCAAAACATCCTCTTCAATACACCATGAGAATAAAACAATCTAGAGCAGCAAGTTTTCTGGCTTTAGTATAGCAAGCAGCATTCATTCCACAAGCACTGGAACAATCATCACTTTCACTCAATTCAAGGTTGTCTTTGTATCTTCTAATTAAAAGAAAAATAAATCTCAACTCTTTCACTAACACTATGCAGAAACAGAAGAATTTCCATAACATCTTTGTCATAAATGAAAATAATCCCATTTCTAAAGTAGTAAGATTAGAAAATACTTTTGTAGTAGAGGCAGATTTATCAATGATACTTTATGCATACTAATTTATTATTCCCTAACAGTTATGATCTGGAAACTTTTAAAGGAAAAATGTTTTGTTCAAAAGTTTATATTTGTTAAAAAAATCCTTCCTGTCTTTATTACAGAGAAAATTATTGTGACTCAGCCTGACAGTCCTTATTAGTACAACACACATTTGTTACTGTTTTCTTTTGATGTAATCTTCCTAAGGGGAGGAACAAATGTATTTTAACAGCTATCCAAGGGCGTATTTCATAGGCACGCAGCACAGAACTTATGCCTGAATATAGACTGAATCTCATCCATAACTCTGATTTGCCTGGGAGAACAAAGCATTTCATTGTGTATTCAAGAATGGTTTCAGCAATCTTATTCACACATTCCTTCCTTCCTTAATCAACAGAAACTGTTTGAATTCAAGATGCATGATTGGGGTGGGAGGGGCAAGCAATGCCAAAGCCTATACTTTTGAAATCTCCATTTTCTGCAGAGCAATAATCTCTCTTTAAGAGTCTCTGTTAATAATCCCTTAATGCAACATTTGCCACACATTTTGCACCATGTCCTTTCCTAATGAACTTTGCTCTGTTCCCTTTTTCCACCCTGTCAGCTGGCATGGTGCTCTGCTTATGCCTTTATTGCTTCCAGTTCCACAACTGAACTCTCCAGGGATCACAGTGCACAGTTTAGGGAGCACTGTCTTGTGCAAAGGTTAAGTGTCAGAAAGACAATCTGAGAAACAGAAATTTTGATCTGAGAAAATACAGCATACATTCTGGGCATTCTTTCCAATTGCATTTCTTATGCACACAGTAAACAGAAATTGGGGCTGGGAAATCAAATCAAAAATGCACCAAGTTGTGATTCCTGATGCTGTACTTGGTAATGGCATATAAATCTAAGTCTGTTCATTTATAATCTAAATTCTTAATTATGTTTAATATACTTATTTGTACTTCTAAAATGCCTGCATTTCTGAGGGGTGTGCAACAGGAATGCACAAAATGGCTGTTTTTGTAAAACACAGTTATATGAAGTCATCCTTTCCTTTGTACCTATTTCGTGACACTAGATCTCAATGAGGGTGTTTAAAACATTTTGTGTATTTTAAGTAACTTTTGTTAAGAAATAGTAGAACACCTACCTGAACATACGCAGTCAAACTTTGTTTGTAGATGCATCAATTTAACTGAAGAGAGAATTTACCCACTCCTTACAAAGTTACTATAAACAGTATTTGTTGACACAATAAGGTCTGGGACTATACAGGCCTTGCTGAGTTACAACATGTACTGTTAGCAGACTGCATCTTTTAAGCATATTAATATTTGTTTAAAACAGCATTATTTGGTCAATAAGACAGTCAAGACTGATATACAATAACGGTGAAACCAATGCTTTTAATTTTTATTTTCAGGTCTGAAGTAGAGAGTACAAGCCTGTGTATACTTTCTTACTGATATAACATGGCTGAAATCTGTCAGCTGTTCACATGGCATATTAATAAATATACCCAAATCAGAAAGCTTTAAATGTTTTTGCACATTGCTATTATTACTAGACTGTTTTATTCATGTTGGCACAGATAATCCATGCAAGGTAATTACTCACATCTCATAAACCACCAGACATTCAGTTCTGAAATAACTAGAAACTTAGGGAAAAATATCTATCTAAAAGCAAGGACACTTGTGGCATCAAGTCAACATGTCAAAATATTATAAAACCTAGACTTCTAATATATGATCACTGCAGGCAATAAATCACTCAGTTTCAAATTCTGATGTTTATAAACAAATTAATATCCACTACCTGGAGATAAGTATTGCAAAAAACCATTAGTGTGCCCAGCATTAGACACTAATGAATGTGTTCAGTGCTGTAGACATTCACATTATTAAACATAAATACAAGTAATCTTCAGCAAAACATTTCACACAAAGTATTGACCACTGAAGGACCAATGGAAAAATATTTTTCCTTGTTTTGAATTGATTTTATAATTGAGAATTGTGTAACTTGTGAATCCAATATAGTGAAAACTAATGAAAAAAAAGTCTAAGACTTTTTTTTTTTGTCCAGATAATAAAAGTAACCTTATTTGGAAACACTTAATTTTGCCCTGTTCTGCAAAAAGAACACCAAAAGAGAGAAAAGCATTAAAAAAAGCTTTTGAATCCTTTGATGGAAAAGTTATTGAACACTTTTTAGTTAGAGAAAAGGCTGATCTTTTCAATTGATCATTCAGAGGTACAGTATCTTTGTTTTATTGTGTAAAACCTCACATTAATTAGAATGAAGAGAAATATTCAGAAGAACTTAGGACTTATCTCAGGCATCTCTTACAAGACATAAAACATTATCAAGTACACATTATTCATCTTATTCTATTTTTGTACAACATTATTTTCCGTGATAGTTGAAAGATCATATTTTGAATTTCAGAGATATATATTATTATATAAATAAGCATTTTACCCTCTCCATATCACAAAGGTGATGCAGCAGAGGAGTATCAGCAGTTATGTGGTATTCTACCTCTGTGAAAGTTAAAATGCTACATTATTATTCACAAATTTCTGGTTCAGATAATGTGCAAAAATTATATCTTAATATAGATATCAAGGGCAGGTTTGTGGCTTCCCTATTTTTGGACCACATTATGAAGCAGCACAAGTCATAACAGGAAATTTTTATTACATGATAATCCTCAGGGTATCACTGTTCTTCATTCAGAGATATTGCTGTACCTCATACAGTGATATGTAAACTAGCTTTAATTTCACTTTTTCAGACACCAGCTGGAGTCAGGGCATGTGCTACAGTGCAGGTTCTCTGCCCAAGGAATTTTTCAGGACTCTCTCAAGCCAGTACAGCTCCCACTGAAGTCTGTGCTGCTGCACTTCACTGCTGCCACCCTGCAAGCCAGCTCAGCTCTGCTCATGTACACTGCATTCCCTTTCCTGCAGTCCAGACCAGATTTACCAGATTGGATCCTTGCTCACCCCTCTGTATGTATGCAAACCATCTCTCTGGGTTATTGGGAGCTTCTTGTACCCTAATTTCTTCCTTGAAGCCCTCATCCTGACTGTTGTGATCCTGGTGCCCCCTACCCAGCCTCCCCTGCCCCACCCAACTCTGCCATGCCAGTGTGGTGAAAGTGCCCTTACCTGGCTATTCTCTGCCCCGAGCCCAGCCCCAGGAAGGGCTCCCCATCTCCTCAGTGCCACTCAGCCAGGGGCCTGCAGAGCCCCTGCATTCTGACAGCCTCAGGTGCCCTCCCTGTGCCATCCCAGCCTCCCCTCCCCGCCCCCGGGCCCAAAACCCCCCCAGCCTGCCCCAGCCAGGCTGCCTGCCGGAGCTCTCCACACACTGCACTCCCTCAGCTGCAGCCCAACACCTCTGGCCAGATCCTAAAATGATTTATCCTCCACGGTGCCAGCCAAGAGGAAGCTTATAGGGACATTGAGGGGGAAGGTGGAGGGGAGAATGAGGCACACACATATAAACACATGCAGATCAGAGGTGAAAGACCTCATGAAATTCTCCTGAGGCATCCATCACAAGCCCTTCCCACGGAGCCTGATTCCCTGTTCTGATGTTGCAGTCAGAGTAGTCTCAGTCAGTGGCCAACACTGACACAAATCTGCCTAAAGAGTATCTTCAATGCAGTCTCAGCATAGAGTATGCTGATGTGAATTCTCTCAAATAACAGATAATAACAAACAGTATTTTGTTGAATGGCACTGAAAAATGAAATGTAGAATTTTCTCACTGTTGTGAATATGTATTTAATGAAGTCAAATAGAAGTGGAAAAAATATTTAACTTCCATAATTATGATTAATTCCTCTGGAGAATAGTATGAGCCAGATATTTGGATTTTGTAATCTATGGGACCATATTCACACCAGCCCAGCACCGACTGAAAACAGAAAATTTGCTTGCTTACAGAAAAAAACCCAAAACAAACAAACAAAAAAAGGCTTTGCATATAATGTACTACTGTTTTAGAATAACTCATGCATATAAAAATCTGACCCTGTAGCAACTCAGATCAGATCACTGCTAAGATCAGTGAAAACTAAGATACCTACTGAATAAATACAGGTCATACATGTCAAAACTGCCACAGGCAGTTCAGGTTGTTACTTTTGTCCAAGATGCAGACTGCCTGCAGCTAACTTAACTCTTATTTTAGAACTCCAAATTTCATTTATTCCTCCCCTAAGCTTTGGATAATTTTTCATCCCTTAAAAAACACACAAATGAAATGGGCATTATCCACGGGAGGGACAAGACAGACAAGGTTATGTAATTTTTAGCTACTCAGAACACAAGGTAAAATAGGTGCAGATGACACCAGCATATGGCCCACAGAAAGCATCCTCAGCCTCAGAAGTACTAATTCAAAACTCTCAGTACTGCAAGCACACATCATAATTCTCACTTAAATGAGTTAATAAAGCTTGAACAATGATCAGACTTTCCATCTTAACTCCACCAGACAGAACTGCTGTCTCCCATACTCAAAAGTATTATCAGTACTACAAGTATTGCTTATTTGAGAAAAAGAGTTTTATCAATAACAGTCTCAAAAACTTGAAAGTTGTTCTCAAGCTATTAGGATAGATGCCTGTATAGTTAGTAGAAAAGATGACTGTATGGTTATCCTAGTTGTTGGAACATAGCTACTGTTTTCCAATGGCAAATACTGCTACAATTCATGATGTGCTACATTTAAAGTAAGGAAAGGAATAAAGAGTATGTGCCTGCTGCCTTATAGATTTTTGATACACATACATTTACTATAGGAAAAAAAAATTCTTTTTCCTAATTATGTGGGATAGAGGAGGGAATTTTTGTAAGCTGTCTCCCACAGCCTAGCTGTGCTAGATGTGTTTCTTCTGTGTTCATTAGTGTGAAGGTCCAGATGTAAGTTCCTACCTCCCTCTGATATCAGTGGGAATTAGAAACCAAAACAAGATTGAATCTCTTTTTTTTTATCACAGGAGGAAAGGAAAATGGTTTTGAATTAAAAGCTGGCCTTTCCAGTCAGCTCTATTCCATTCAATGTAAGAGCAATTTGGAGAAAGCCAGTTGTCCTTTTCCATTACGATTTGAAAGTGAATTATCTACTGTGCACATAGAAGCCAAGTGCACTAGCAAGGTTGACCCAACCATTTTATATTCAAATTGTTATGGATTGTCACCTAGGCTTCCCAGCTACATATGGATTCAAGGCAGACTTATTATTTGGAAAGAATCTAAAATATCTGATGCTATGAGGTAGCACCACAACATAATGGAACAGCACTCACTTTTCCTAGAGGAAGCCCTAATCTATTTATTTCCCTTTGAAAGCTACGGCCTTTGGATCTACAGATGACTGTACATATGGCACTTACTCATTCTTGCTGTGAAAGAAAATGACTTAATACAGACGTATTTTTCCAGTTGTTTTTGAACAGCAGTGTGTGGTCTAAGCAGTAAAACTGCTGTGGGCAGTTAACTTGAAACTGTATTTGCACATTATTTTTTATAATAGGGTTTTTAGTTAATTTCAATATTTCCCCCAACTGTTGCTATAATAATGGACTAGTTCATGAGTTCATTTGGTTTTGACTGCTCATTCAGAAGGTTTTGTATGAGCTTTGCAAAAAGCATGTTCTGCATTTGTGAAAGAGGATAAAGTTAAACTTGAGAAGTACCAACATCTAGCTTTTACCAAGAGAAGTGCTAGCCATGGTTATCAACGTTACAATTGCCCTGTTAGTCATCTGTTTTACCCCAGCATTACTGACTACCAACTCTTCTTTTAAACATTGATGGCATGGGCATGCTTCTTGCACAGTGGCTTGTCTTTCTTGGAGTAGAATGGCTGACCTTCCAAATTCACATGGCATACCTAGAATTAATAAAAAATGCAATCAGGAATAATTACGGAAAAAGAAAAGGGAGAAAGATGTGACTATCAGTTTCAACTGTATTGCTCTTCTGCCCATGCATTTCTTTGGTAGTCTTTAGGAGTCATGTATTGATTTGCTATTGATTTAACCCACTGAAAGAAATCAAGTTAGATCCTCAAAAAGACCCCCACTGTGAGAACTGCATATTAACAACACATAATAAAGCTATCATTTCCACAGAAAACAGGGCAGCTAAGGCAAATGAATGAGCAAAAAAGAATATGAAATATTCAGAGAAACTGTATTTATAAGTAATCAATATTTATAAGTGATTAAGAGCTGTTATCTTGTCAAGGAAACTTGCTTAGTGTTCCTTCCTATGTCAGAATTTCCAAAAGATTTCAGTTTTCACAAAAAACTTTTTTGCAAAGTTTTCAGATATTTATAAATATTTCTATACTTTCAACTAGTTTACCTAAATTTTAGACTTAAACAAACATTAGAAATTGTCAGTGTCAGTTTGGTGTGGCTAACATACTATTTCTAGCTAATCAGAGATTCTAGATATTATTACTTTAGGAATAATACATTGCAGAGCTGCTCAGTGGTATTAGAACCAGATGAAAGTACTGTTTATCATATGGATTTTTCTGCTTTGTGTGCTGTGTGGGAATATGGCCACACTCCAGAGCTATGTGCACACCACAGATTGATGAGTTTGACCAACTTCTATGCTAATTACTATTCATGCTCTCTAAACAGACTTCTTTTTGCAAGATTCAACAAGTATTCAGCATGGAAATACAAACTTCACTGCTTTGTAAGTAAGATTATGGTTATACTGTTCAGTATGGTGTTAATTTACTTTCAGTCTTGCTCTATCTTTATTTGGCAAACACTAGAAAGAATAACAGCAACAGTGGTTTGTACTGCTGTATGCACTATCTAAAACTGGATGTTTTATTAGGAAACCCTTATGATGATCAAATTCCGTAATTCTAGTAAAAGTTATGGAGGAGAAGAAAAATTACTCCCATCCTTCTACAAATAAAAGTAAAAAATGAAATTTCATCCCTCTGCATCCTTAAGCACATGTTAGTTATTACTGCTTTCAGGTTTTCTGATGTTATTACACAATTTAGGAGTATAAAGGAATGAGATAGTATTTGATGTAGAACCTACAGCACAAATGAAGCAGGTGTCATGCCAAGTGTGTCCAAGAGCTTCAATGAATTTATCTCCAGCTTCAACAGGATAATCACAGCCATGACATTTTGTGCTGAACAAAGCAATATAATCTGAAATAAAACAAAAAGCAAACTTAGAACAAACTCTTAACATAATCGTATTAAGTCCAAAAGAAATAGAATGTTTCCAGGCAATGAATGTTTTTGTTGTTTTTGCTCAGTTTCTTACTACATTTACTGAAACACTCCTACTGAAATATGCTTCTTTTCTTTCATTATTTAAATACAAATTCAGTCCAGAACCCTCCATTAGTATGACATTTATCATCACAAATGTGGAAGACATACAAAAAATCCATGGAATTTGAAGTTGTGTTTCTCACATTTTGAAATTAGCCTTAATATATGTGGAATCTATTCATAGGACAAATATGGTTGTACAGAAGAGTCTAATGACAAGGGAATGTTACAAGTTTCCATGCCTATATTAATGTGTTTTTTGCATAAAAAGAGAACACTATGGAAACGCCATGTTGGCTGATTAATACATCTTTATTTTATCAGGTGTGATTTGGAAAGGTTTGACATTGAAAAATAATAGTGGAAATTCCAAAGGTATATGGAATCCATGAGAGTTATTTGATGTTCTGACAAAACAGAAATTGTCAATTTTAAAGGGTAGGTACCCCGTCAGTCATGCTGTATGGATTCTTTTTCTTCACTAACAGTTACTCTGACTTGTAAAATTTGAATTGCATAGCCATAAGAAAGGAATCTCCAAAGAGAAGTAGGCCAGTTGCTCACTGAATGCATAAGGGGAATACAGAGGGAACATCACTTAAACCTTAACCTCCTTCCTGACTATGCCAGGCAACTCATTTGCATAGCAAGTACCATTTTGGGAAAACATGGCCCTTTCCTTTCTTAGCTGGCAAGAAGCAGTTTCTTTGTTGCAGCAGCCAAGAAACAAAATCTGCACCACCATGTGCTGCACATCTGTGCAGACCTATCTCTTCCTAAGTGTTGGTTGAACAATTCTAGGGTGAGGTAAAACAGCATCAGAGGTCACAGCTCCAGCAACTCAGAGGGATTGTGGGAACTCTAGAAGACTAATTTTTCATTTCTGGTGAGCAGAATCTACAGAGTCTACCAAGAAGGGGAGTGGAACAGGGGAAGGAAAATGAGTAGGGAAGGAAGTGCAAAGTATGATAATACATAAGGGAGAGAAATGAGAGAAGGCATTGTGGACAGTGAGGCAAAGACCAGCGCTCTGCCATTCTCTCATATAACTGGAGTAAAATACAGAGACACAAACACTCGTTCATGTGGAGAGGGGAAACAAAATCCACGCTGGATGGGGAACTGATATTATTTTGTTCACCAGGTGCGTTATTCTTACGTTGCTTCCATGAACATGAAGCACACAATTACTTGCAGAACTGTAATACCTTTCTCACAGTAAGGCTCCCCGTCCTCCATGTGGAACAGGCTATTCCCAAATGGCTTCTTACAAGCAGCACAGACAAAGCAACTTGTGTGCCAAGTCTGTCTTAGGGCATGCATCACTTCCTGTAAAACAAACAAACAAACAAAAATCTCCAGCAGAATAGCCAGCCCTGCAACTTCCTCCTGGAGAACAAACACAAGGCAGAGATGCTCTAAATTCTTCCCTTCTGTATCAGCCAGTTCCCTCCTCAAAAGAAAGAATTATGACAGAAATTGGGCTCCTTTTGGAAAGAAAGAGGAAATAGGACTGCAAGCTTTCTAAAACAATGTATTTGCCAAAGTAAAACAACATGGTTCAGCCAGCAGTTTGTATCAACATGCCCAGTCACTGTTGCAGGAGGGGTTCTGCACAAAGATTCTGATTATTTCCTCCTTTGTTTTGACATGACCAGTATGAACTCTTCAGTGCAAGAGTATGATTTGTTAAATAAATTTAAAAGAGTAATTTTCTAAGACCAGGAATAAGTGGTGTAAGTCTGTTGTTACAAAATAATCTAGATTCTGTAGTAATTTCTTTATGCTTCTTCTTACAAGAACAATTCACAACCTAATCTAAAAAAAGCTAAAAAAAAAAAAAAATAGAAAAGGTTCTTTTAACTTATGTGATTAATAAAAATGAGTCTGCAGGTCTGTTCCTAAGCCACAAGTTTATCACAAAAAACCCCAATTCTGTGCAACTGATGTTCTCCTCAGCTGAATACAACTAGATTTTATTGGCTTCTTACTTCTGCCCAGTATGAAGAAATCTCTATTACTGCTTTGTTCTTTTATCATACAGAAGTCTTCCAAGTCCAAAAGCTGCTGTACTAGGCTCTGATGCACAGTTACCTGCTAATTTGTCAATCTTATGTGCAGCCAGAATGATGTTTGACAGTGTATCTCTGTCCAACAGCCCGGATTTCAAAGGGCCAGCTGCATAACTGCTGTAAATTAACTTTGTTAGCTTCAGTGAAACAGCATTGATTTATACCAGCTGAGAATCTAGATCCTATTTTATGTTGCTTCCAATTATACACATAGACTCTGATTCTCTTTTAAAGATTGCTTTTAATGTCCACTGATTATGAGAAAATGGATTGAAGTCCTCTTCCATGCTTTCAATCCAGTGAATAGACAAAATAGTCTATTTAGATTTGCCATATATCCCATTAGAGAATCACCATTTGAGATTCATTAACTTCTGTTACTGTTTGCAAAACAACTATTGCTGATAAATAGGTTTGGATTCATTTATGAACCTCAGTGAGGTAAGAAGCAAAAATAGCTTGAGAAATCTTATTAATATAAATAGAGGCAGCTGGCATCTTTGCTATTTTCCTGATGAAAATCAATAATGGGAAACTGATTTGTGACAGCATTCATTAGGTAGGTTAAGTCAGCACTCTGCTATAAATTACTCCTTCTGCTGCAGTAGCAAACAAGACTTGGTTGGAGCCAGAGCTTCAGCATCTATGTCTGATGCTGCCACCCCTAATTGGCAGTTGCAGAGAAGAGCATCTGTAATGCCAACATTTAAACAGATGTCAAAAAGTGACAGCTAAGCAGTGAAAAAACAGTGGGGGAACTCCTTGCTTCTTAGTCTGAGCTATACATTCACTACAACTGCATGCATAAATATACTTCAGATGGAAAAAAATTATCATAAAATAATGTTTCTCATTCTGAAATAATGAACAAGCTGGGAAATAAGACTTAAAAGGATGAAATAATAAAACACCTACATTCACTGCTTACAGTCTAAATGATTTCACTGTTTCAGGGATCCATACAGCTGCAGAAAGGGTTAACCTTGTTCTCTTACCCCCATAATCTTGGTGTGGCATCTGGCACAGGTTGGTGCGAAGAACTGTTCATAGCAGCGCTCACAGTACACACTGTTCTGCTCCTCCACAAAGCACATATCAGCCAAGGATGTCTTGCAGTAAGCACAATTGAATTCTTCTGGGTGCCAAGAGCGTCCCATGGCTACCAGGAAAGGACCTCTGCAACCAACCATAATTTATTTGTAATCTTATTTAATCTCATTTGCATTGTGAAGAAAAGGTTGAATGACCCTGATTGCAAGTCCACTTTCTCAGACACCATGTACACATGTAAGAAGCTACTTGAACCATGAAGTGCATATTGAAATAACATTTAGAAACCCGAATAGAAGTGGTCTTTTCCAAGACCATTACTCAAAACACACTGTTTAAAACATTTCATTATTGTTTGGTCTCATGCACTGCATTTACAGACAACTATTGGAAAAATCAATTGTCTTCATATCTGCATAGCTATAAGTGGTCTTTGTAAGCAGATGCAAAGACAAAAGGAAAAGGCCAAAGGCAACAGAAGATAATGCTACTATTTGAAAGCATGAAATAACAGGCAAATTTCCATCTTTACACACCCACACCTCACAACAGCTCCTAAAGTCTCCTACCATCTTTCTGTCTGACAGCACTGCGTGCAGCATGTTCTAGAAATGTCAGGCTATCAGGTGACAGCTTGCCGTTTTGTTATGTGGAAGACACATTAAATTCATTTTGGTGATTGACTCTGGTGATTGTAATTAGATATAATGATTATTACTGGAATATTTCCATTCCAGAATATATGAAGGGCAATAATCAGCAGTTCCACATCACGAAACTAGCTCCTTTTTAGTGAGAAAGACTGTCATTAAACATGGATTACTTAAAGTTGGATAGCACTGTAGAGGCTAACAGTAGGCACTGGGCCAGCAGAATGAATTGGGAGAGAAGGGAGAGGCATGCTATGAATCACTGGTAATAGAGTGTAGGCATTATCTTTCTCCAGACACAAAAGCAACAATTACATTTGGTTGCTGTTCCAAAATGATGCCTTATTCCTTTTCTCTTCACAAGCCCACTCTTTGCTCCCAGCCCCTTAACTCTCCCAAATGAAGTTGCACAAACCTCCTTCAAAAGGTTACCTTAGGACCAGAAACCTGTTTAAAAATCAAGCAGGGATTTGCTGCAGCATCTAAGAGCCAAACAATTAGCATGTATAACTTTGCAGTGATAAAAAGTGAACCACACAACAACAAAATGAGCTCTGGAAATGTTAAATTAATGAAGCAGACAACAGACATCCCTGCTGCGTAATTTAACAGAGTCTTAGGCTCTGGAACTGTACATTAATGTACAATAACCAGTCTTCCTGATACTTTTTTTCTGCTTCATCCCTCTTCAAAAGCCCGTGACCTTACCGAATGATGCTGTTACAGTGCCCGCAGAGAGGAGTTCGGCTGCTGGCAGGAAAACGCTCCGCCCTCTGAACTGTTCCCCGGGCTAATGCAGGGGGCTGGGAAGAAGTTGAAACTGGAGACGGGTAAGCAGAAATCGTGGCAGGAGATGGCACTGGAGCACCCCTTGGTAGGATGTGCTTTGTGACAGTGGTGGTGGATTTTCCAGGTGCAAATTTCTGGGAAAAGGAGTCATCTGTTACCCAGGGAGGGCGACTCGCAGGCTCCGTGTTGGCAGGGGTGTAGGAATGAACTGGTGCTGGCGCTGTTTGAAGCATCCCAAAAGAAACCAAGAAAAATTTTAAAGTCTTTTTCTTCTACTGTCAATACAGCAACACCAAAGGGTACTCCACGACACACAGACAATAAAAGCTTTATTTGTCGTTAATTACGGCCTGTCCCATTGTTGCTCATTTATTCTGGGCTGAAGCCAAGGGTATCAGCACAATCACTGACTTCTAATACACATGCATTACAGAAATCATTGCCTACTGGATTTTACTGATTTTATGGAGACCATTGTGAAGATCATCTCTTCATTTTCTTGAAGGAATAGATATGACAATTCTGTGATAATGTCAAAGACTGCCATATACTCTGTTTAAGACAGGTTAAAAATATAAAAGCCAGATAATATAGTAAAGTTTTAGACAGAATTCCCCAGAATTTCAATAAGTTATGCTTAACTTTTGATCTCATTATATTAATTAAAATACAACATGTTCTCCAGATGTCCCTGTTATCTGTCATTTGGAGGTTTATTCCTAGGTTTTTTAATAAAAACAGGCTCCCACAGGGGAAACAAAGACAGAAGCACTGGAAGCAATACTGAGGGAGCCAGTTCAGCTCACATGACCAGCAAGATAAAGCCAACAGCACTTAGAGGAAGGCCAGACTTGTGGTTATGACTGATCTCAGTTCAGTTCTTGGCTCTGCCACAAATTTCCTGTATAACTTTGAGCAAAGCAAAGTGTGTCTGCACTCCAGTTCCTGTATGTAAAACAGAATATTCTCCTTTCTCTCTTCCACCCTTTGACTAGCACATAAAACCTTCAGTGCAGTCTGTCTCTGTGTTTGTGTGCACCAGGCTCTAATCTTGGGTGGAGCTTTATCACATTAAAATAAGCAGGAGCCAGACCCTGCACATACTGACAAATTTTCCCATTACCCTGCTCTTTTCAAAACGTCAGATCTTGCATTATTTCGACTGAAGTTACTGCCCAAGAAACAGCCTCACTTTGCCAAGTACAGGAGCACTAAAAGCAGTTTCCTTTGCCAAGCAAAACAAAGCAAATGATTGAAAAGAAGCTTGGAGAGCTGAAGTGTTTTGCCCAAATGAGAGAATACAGGTTTGGAAACAGAAACCAGTTCTCCAGCAGTCTGGGCAAACATTCCACACGGTAGATCCTAGTACTAGTACCAGGAAAATCATGACCAAATACAACATGTCCAGGTTTAAGGGGCTTGCAGGTAGAAAGGTATTTCAGAAAAGAGGGTTCTGAAAGTAACATGGATCTTTCTGAATAATTAAGTGGTGAGAAGTTTATGTTCAACTTAACACTCCTCCTTCAGCCCACACCCTGCCTCATAATAACTTACATTACTGATTATTGGCAATTTGCAAGTGCTTAAATTGCACACATATCAACGCACTGTGATCACCCTTGGGATCTTTTTGTTGAGGTCAGAGTTGAATCTAGTGCATTTTCTTGATAAAAATTTCTTATGATACAGCATCAGCAATGTTTCTGCTTCACAGAACTGTATCCCACCTTAGCTTGAGGCTTTTTTATTTTGAACTTGGAAATTATAAACAGTACTTAAAGATTTCAGAACAGAGTTTATATGCAATCTCTTTAGATCCCGAGGCTCTTGCTATTTATGTATTACAGTATTAAGATATGCAAAATTAGAAGTTAATATTTAATCTCTAATCAATGAGTTCATAAGGCTCCCACCTATGAGGCTAATTAAGCAAGGTGACTTCAGCTCACTTCACTACATTCTCTCTACCTTCTATTTCTTTTTACTCTTTTTTTTTTCCTATTTGCCGCAGTAAAATAAAGAAACAGAAAAAAGGAAAGTAAAATTAAACAACAAAATAGGATTTTTTTCCAGCTACTAAAAGGAAGTACTGGAGGAATTACTGCAAAATGACAAATGTTGGGTGTTTGCATCTGCTCCGAGTTCTCTTTTCAGCTATTATAATTTAATTTTACAGGCCTGATTTATAACAATACATTTTCCTTTTGTGAACAAGCTGCAATTACTATTGCTTCAAAATAGTATCACTGCAACATATTAGAAAGATTTCACTAACTTTGAGATTTTAGCAATTGTTATTAAAAGGGAATGATTTTATTTTCTTAGAAGTACATCCTTAACATATGAACAATTAAGTAAAAAGAAAAATTAAGTACATATGAACAATTATTTTGTCTTATTTCCTACTGACATACATATTCACCTTAAACATTTATGTATTTCAAAAAGTCATCCAACACTAATCAAGAGAAAAAAGGTGTTGTTTGCTGCTAAAAAAGTACTAAGATTCAGTATATCACAGAATATATTCTCAAAATACCAGTATTGTATGAGTTGACCATTAACTGTTAAAAAATGAATACTTCAAATAATTCAGTAACTTAGCCTCTATCACCTTGTTTCTCTCAGACCTCATGTTCTCTGGGAATGGGAAAGAATGAATGGCATTATTGTTGTCCTGAGCGAATGGCAGGAGAAGAGGTCTCTCTCAATAGGAGTAGGAGCAAGCCAATTCCTTGTTTCTGGGGAAGTTGGAACTCTCCCCCTCAGCTCTTCATTTAGGGCCTATGGTGATTTTCTCTCCAGACAAAAAGGCACATTACCAAGACTCATGTAGTAAAGCAAAGATTTATAGAGTCTCAAATGCTTTGGTCACACAGACTTGCACTGTGAGAACATATTTTCTTTTTTTTTTTCTTTGTTAGTAGATGACATAAGTGTTACTCTATCAGTAACAAAATAAATTAATAACCACAACTGATATGATTTGTTCTACACTTAGTGGCCACATCCTTGAATCCCAAAGTTTTCCCATACACTGTTACAGTACAGAGTAGATGACAGAGCAGATGATGTTTTATAGGGAGACACTATTCTAATTTATAGGAACTAAAGTGAAATATGTGGAAGCCTCTAGTTTAGTATGGAAGGTGCTTAGGATTCAATATAAAATTCATTAAGAACTGTGAGAATCTCTCTACCAATTCCTCAAAGAGCAGATCAGGCCTTTATGCTTGACCAATTTTGCATACACAAGTAGGCCCAGTTGGACTTAGGGATTTAAAAGGAAAGATCTGCTTCCTTCCATTTAGGTATCGTGTTACTTCGTGGTACAGAAGTGGAGCTGAGTTGTTTGGGATACGTGAAAGCCTATGCTGGTCTGGGAAAGCCCTTGGGAAAGGAACAGCCAGGTATGTTCTGCCATCTAGTGGGCATTGCTCAGAAGAGAAGTCTGTGCTCCTTTCAAACACGGGTTATGAAATTTAGGGAGATTTCAGGGTTCACAGGTTTCTCTACTGGAAAAAAACGAAGGATCTTTAGCAGCAGAAAATTTTCCACTTGAGTTAGGTTAGGGAAATGTAGACTGCCGGATAAATCCCATCTGAGCCAGATACTTAACAATGCAGTTTCATTTTGAGATTTTAGTTTGTTTGGGTTTTATTTTCAATGTGAAATTAAAATAGCCTTGTAAATCCTTGCAGTGACTGATTCAGGAGTCTCTGTATTAAATATCTGAGCCTGTTGCTTGGTGTTTTAATATGGAAGTTGCTGCCCCACATTTCCAAGGGAAGCCAGTCATTGACAAAGTTGGATGAGGAAGTTTTCTAACTGTCTTGGTGGTTTGCTTCTAAGTACTATTGATTTTCCCATCTGTGACAGGAAATGTTATTTCATCCATTTCTTCCCAAGTGGCAATTTCCCATTTGCTCTGCAACTGTCTCTGGGGATAGCTCATGCTCCAAAACCACTCTGAAGTGCTACTACATCAAATATAAAGTACACTTTACAAAGTACCAAAACAAGAACCAAACATCTTCACTGAAATCTCTGCCTGGAACCTCTCTTGTAACTGAGTCACTTCAGGGTTCAATTATAAAGGCATTTTAGAATCCCTTATTGGATATTTCAAACTCCTAAACAGTACAGGAGGACCTTTTCTTTCTCTGCCAACTATTTAAGCCTTTATTGAGAGGCAATGAGGCTCAAAAGCAGCAACCTAAGGAATTGCAAAGAAACACCAGGAATGTAAGGAAGTGCAAAGAAAATGCCCAACCCAGGTGAAAACAAAAGCCTTTCCTCTTATTCCAAGTGGAATTCAACAGCCAGCTTTGACTTTACCAGATCCAGCCAATAACTGGAAATAGCTGCAGATGTATTTCTGTGGCAGGTTTGTATATTGAACTGGAGTTTATACTTCCCCAAATGAGCACAGGGTTTAACATCAGTCAGTGTATTTAGGAGATATTTTGATTTGCCAGAGTTTGCTCTCTTCTGCATTATAGAAATAAATCTGTTGTCGTTGTCTTTTCAAGTCAAAAATAATAGCATTTGCCTTGAGTGAGAACATGGTATACACTGACACACAACTAAAGCAAATGAGGAGAAGCTGAAGGATTATTTACTTTGAGACCTTTAAATAGCTCATGAGAGCTCTGACTTGACTTTTCCTACCTTTATGTCTCAAATATAAAGACCAATTGATTTGTCTGTCTGCTTTATGTCTAACTAAAATTCCTACATTTGTTTAAATTCAGTAGATCCAGAAATAGAACGTTATAGAAGACAGAGTTTAAGACTTAGAATTCTTGGCCTTTTCATGTTTATTTGACTGTAAAAATATAAATCAACTTCTTAATTCTCTTGCTAAGATCAGAAAAACCTTAATTAGAAACAGAACCACCTTTAGACTTATATTGGTGTTTCATTTAATTCATTCAGTTTGAAGGTTCACATTTTGGTCATCAATGGTTTCAGAAGCCCAGTCCATTTTTAACACATTAATATCAAGGGAATTTAAATAATATCAAAGAGCATATTTTCCAAATAAATGAATAACCAAATATATCCCTTAGGTTACTATCTCTGGGAAATGGGATAGCATTATGAGGTGCTTAATACCTCATTCTTTATGTCAATAATAAGCCTAAGTTTGAGAAACTCAATATATGGTCTTACCTATTTTGCAAATATATCCTATTCAAGCAAACTCAACTTATTTTACCTCCCTCCTGAACTGTGCATTCTTTTTTAGCCATTTTCTCAATTCTGTAGTGTCACTGGGCTCCTAATTGGATACACAGGTTATTTTTCAAATTCATTTATTTTGAAAAATCAGGTTAGACATTTTTATTAGACTTTTCCCTTGCTTTTATTTTCCCCTCTGTTTGTTTCATGTTTTAGTTCTGAAGTAGAATACAAATACAACATAATCCTTAATCTTCAAATAATCTGAGGCAAAACTAGCAACATTTAGACCCATGTGTATAAATACTTTCTGGTATGTCTGTGTGCAAAATGTGTACTTTCTACATTTTCTTTTTCCAAAAGAAATGTGTGAGCATTTTTTTCTGAGTATTTTCATTACTTTGAAGGCTCCTTACCTGGCTGGTAGACAGAGGGCTTTATGCTGGCAGTAGTAACAACTCTTGTTTTTGAAGCAGCAGAAGGAGCAGGACTTTCACTGTAGCTTCCAGAAACTGGCATTGGTGTATATGACTGGATTGTGTTTCTGAAAGCAAAATGTATGTGTGAACAATTTTATAAAGAGCAAAAGTTACTGATCATGGAGTAACAGATCTGGCAGCGTCCAGAGCACTCCAAGAGGATCTCTCTGTGAGAACTACAGAGAGAATGCTGGGAGATTCATCAGTCTTTGTCGTTGCTAAGAAAGGCTTGGAAAATTCTTTGGAAATAAAAATTAATCAAATAAGGATTTTAAGTAACGGCAAGTTTGCTGTTTTTGTCATCACAGAAAATAGCTTGCTGAGAGAATACGATAAATTTGAAACTCTCAATAACAAGGGATCAGACTTCACAAAGCTGCATACAAAGTTTGTGTTTTCTTTTCCTCTGCAAGCAAAAAGGTCTGGTCTTGTCTAAGATAAATCAACGAGTCATATCTGGACTTAAAAATACACTTGCTCAGCACAGTTATTACTACTAACTAAATGTTAATTAGTATTTATATACTGTTATACTATTTTCAAAAAATATTGAAGTGATCTTTAACATTTTTTCTGAAACGAATTCTTTTCCCAAGTTAGACTGAAAAATTTACATTAATTTTCCTACTGCTCAGATTCATCCTTCAGAAAAAACCCCATATGATATGCAATATTATGATGCTTTTTCTTCCAGTCCTAGAATAAAAACATTTTCTCACGATTCCAAAAATCAGTAAGAAACAGTTTTTCTCTATCTTATGGCTGAGATGGTGATTCTCAGTTTGATTACAGGAACAGATTTCAAAATATGCCTCTTCTATCTGCCAGTTACTTGGGGTGATTCTGTTTGTAGTGCCTGTGCTTCACAGACTGCTGAAAGAGTATCACAGTCAAAGCAAGCAAGAGAGAATAAGAAGTACAAGGAAGGGAAGCAACAGATAATGAGATGAGTGCAGCAAGAAAAACCCACTCACTACAAAACATCCTCCTTACTTACCCTGAAAACAGTTTTGCTTGTTTTTTCCCTTCAGTGTCACTCCCCCTATGAACTAGATCCCTATCTATTTGCGCTGACAAATAATGAGTTATTTCCAAAGTGGGTTTGTCTATAGGAAAACATTTGTCAGCATATGAAAAGAAGCATCCAGCTTTCCCAGACTATTGGTCCATCTTGACTTTACTTTCTTTAATAGTGGAAACAGATACCATCTGGAGAAAACATGTTATAACCTACATGGCAAACCCAGCAGATTTCTTCCAGTGCAGGTAAGAAACATTCTGAAAAATGGAAACTTTCAATTTTTAATTTTCAACAAAATAAACCTGTTCTCAATGTAGTTTTTTGCTTCTGTGACAGTGTTTCTACTATAGATTTAGTTTGCATAGCATTGCTGCCTCAGGCTAATTTATTTTGTCTATTTAGCAAGACCTAGAAATTTAGCAATTGCTACAATGGCTATAGCTAATTGTTTCTGTACCTAGTCTAGGGCTTAGGCCTGGATTTGGGTCCACTGTACCGTGAGTGAACATGACTCTACAAGATAAACTATTTTAGTGGGTTTATATTCACTGTAAATTCTGTTCTGAACCATGCAGTGGTTTTGTAACTGCCAAAGCTGTTCTAAGCACTGTAAAACTTTCTGGTTTCCATTCTTACTGTCTATTTCCTGATGGGAGCTCCTGTGTGGTGCCTAAAAAGCACTGTGCTTCAGATCACTGGACAGAGGCATTGCTCCTGCCATAACACAGGGACACTGTGGGCACTCTGGCTTCACCCACAGCTTTCAAAATCAGCTAAACACATCACGTGAAGACTTGTCCTTCTTTTAAAATCTGCTACTCAGGGTAAACTACACAGCTCAGAGCCCAATATTTACAATGTGGGTTAAAAGATTTTAAAATGACGTGTCACACAGCCTGAATCTGAAAATGTCATCCAGGCAAGAAAGTCTATTCCCAGGTGCATAGTTCCAGTAATTAGAAAGACTCATTTGAATATCTCTTAATGCACAAAATAAAGAAAGGAGTTCTGAACCAGATTAGTAATACTTAAGACTGTCATGAAGAAAAATGGTTATTCAAAATTCAAGTGTTTCCCAAATATAATAGCATAGTAAAACCATACCACAGATTTCCTTGTGTTCAGGGAAATGAAGCTGAAAAAAACCCTAAAACAACCCCCCCCCGCCATTCACACTACCAAATTCAAAGCAAAATTAAAAGTAGTACTGAATCCTTTTAACTCTTTTACATGTTTATGATGCATATTAAATACAGTAAGAAAGATAAGAAAGCTTATCAAAGAGAAATAAAGTGTTATACTACATCATTAAGGGTTTAGTGAAAGAAAGGATTTATCAGAATTTCTGCTGAAGAAAANAAAAAAAAAAAAAGAAGAAACAATAAAGAAGGAAATTAAGAAAGAATAAAAAGATGTTGTAAGGACCAAAGATGCTTTAATGGATCAAGAAGCACTGGCATCTCAAAAGCAGTGAAAGCAACCTCATTGAATTTATCTGTAGCAGTCAATGGCATGTGACACAGGCAGCAAATTAAATACTGGCTCTGAAAACTATTAGTTGTCAGAAAAAGAAAGAGTAAATATTTCTAAGCAGATCATTTTTATGTTAACGCTTCACTAGATGCCTACTAGTAGCAAGAAACTGGTTTGTTAAGTGCTTTTAAGGTAAAATAGCTGCACAAAACAGTTTTATACCTCTGCTTTGACTGGTAGCTGATGGAGGTGGAAGAATGCCGGTTGAAACTAAAATGAGACAAAAGTGGTATTTGAAAAAATATACACAAAAGATTGGGATATCTTGCCCTACTATGATTTTCCTATGAGTAAGAAAGGCTCTTAAACTAAAGTAAACAACATGTATATATTTATAATCATATAAGTATTACATTACATTTTGTTTTCTTATTTAAGCTGGGAATCACAGTGAAACCTGAAGAATGGTAACATAAGTCAACGAGCTGAGTGCTCTATAGGTCACTCTCATCTGATCTTGTTATTTGATTGTGAACTACAATTATTTTCATTAACAGAAAAAAAAAAAAGAGTGATTTTTCTCAATGTCATAAGTTTACATTGCATCAAATCTGAAAAACAAACCCTGAATGAACAAAAAGCCAAAGATCAGAAGTGCCCCAGCTTGTGAGGCAGCTCAGACAACCCCATGGAAAGGACAGGCTGGCATAGTTGAAGCAAAAACATCAACCCACCATGTTCAACTTTTGCCTTGCAGAACCTTTCTACTGCTACAGTCTTAGGTAAACAGCTAGATTTTTTTTTCTTGGGGAAACAGCATAATTTCAGAACATAAATGAGTCATTTATGCAAATGAGTCATTTATGCAAAGGAAGTACTTGAAAGCGTGCACAATGTATGCTCTGAGAAACAAGAGAATTCAGAATGAACAGAGCTCCTGTCTGCAGGGCAGTGCAGGGCTACAGGGCATCAATCCCATCCCACAGGGGCACAGCCCACATTTCCCAGAACCACCAGGAGTCTGCCTTATGCCAATTATTCTCCTAACTTCTGGAGAAGAGTTTTTCTTCCCTTTACCATGGACACAGTGTTTGGATTAAAAATCTCTGGATCAGAACTTACACTTGACTTTTAGAACCATAACTGTAACTCCTTCCATTGTTTCTCCTGGTTTTGTATTCCCAGAGTGCCCTGCTTTAGCCCTCTGGATGGAATAACCCCTCCCTGAAGAGCTTCAAGCTTCAAAACTCTCCTGCAGTGCTTGCTTCTTTTAAGTAAGATTGTAAGTGGAACAGATAACAATAAATCAGAATTTTACTGCAGATGTAAAAGAGTAAGACAGTCTGTTAAAGATTAGTGATTTACTTCAAACACTCCTCTTCAGGAACATTATAAAGATTTTACTCATGTTAAGAGTTATGCATATATTCACAAAAGCTAAGTCACTACAGAACAGGATCTACTAAAATTTAAAATCAGATTTAAATAGTTAAGGATATTGATCAAGAAATCCTCCCACATTTTCTTGGTGGATGCTTTTAAAGCATCTAAAAGGAAAGAAAATACCAAACACTGGAATAATGGTGATAAAATCTCAGCCTCATCTACCTAAGGATATCCCCATCCTGTAAAACACTGGTGTCATTAAAGTAATCCATATTTTTTTTGAAATAAAATTATATTAAAACTCAATACCTCTCTGGTATATTTCAAGCTAAAACTGGATTTTTAAGTCTGTATTTTGCCATGTTTTAGCTTGATTTCTGAATGAAAACTACCAGATGCTCAAAAATTTGAATTATAGATCAATTTAGAAGCCATTTTTAGTCCCTTACATTTGAATACACCAGCTATGATACACAGCAATTTTAAAAACAAACATGGAAGAAGTGCACCAAGATAAAGAACCTATTTCAGCTGCAAGACAGCCATCCAAAACCAACCAACCAAGCAGAGTTTACTTCTTGTACTTGATTGTCAGGGAACCAAATTTTTACAGGTCCTACAAGTCCCTGATTTGCCCTTATGTGCCAAGACTTGCTGAAGCCAAGACAGTAACATGTGCCTGTTGGAAACAGGGAAGCAGATGACAGCATCACACTGTGATGACACAGTGTCATCCACTGACAAAGCAGTGGTGTATAAAGTTGATATGCTGTAGATCTTTCCTGTGTGACCAAAATAATTGCCAGGTATCAGCAAGAGGTTTTAGGAGACTGATTAGAGCATTTCTTTTTGAAATGGACAGATGTTTTTCATAGATTCACAGAGTCTTTGAGGTTACAAGAGGCCTCAGGAAGAATCTGATCTAACCTGCTGAAAGCAAAGCCAGCTCTGAGGTCAGACCAGCTTGCTCCATATTTTAGCCAGTGATGTCTTGAAGATATTCAAGAGTGGAGAGACACAGCCTCCCCAGACAAGTCACTTCCTTTCAAAGGAGCAGGAAAAGCAGCAATGGTCCATGACAATCTAATTTACTTTCAATTCCAATGCCTCAATATCTCAATGTCATCTTTTTATCCTCTTCAAAAATTTTGTTTCACACTGATTAGTCCATGTTGGTACATAACTACAAATGAATTCATATGGTTTCAAGGACTCACGCTGCTTCCCTTCTCCCATTAAATGCATATAAAATTTAAGGGAAATGGAAAAAAGCTCAATCAAAAAACAGTATTACATTATCTCTAGGAAAGGCATGCAAGTAGTGTTAAAAAGTACTAGTTATCTTTATACTAATTTATTAGCTGTTTATATGTAAATTATGCATAACTGTTGCTAGCTCCATGGAACTAGATGATCCTTAAGATCCCTCCCAGCCCAATCCATTCTAGCATTCCATGATTTCCAAGCTGGAATGAAAACAATCTCTAAGGAAAGATTTAGATGGATCGTAAGATGTAGACTGGTGAAACATGAATAGATGTGCTCTGTCTGGACAGAACAGTCACCAAAGCTTCCATTTAATTTAATCTTCTGACTAATTTCAATCTTCAGCTGAAAGAACCCCTAAAATCAAGTGTAGCTCAGGAGAAATAATAGGTTTTGCAGGCCAGTGTTTAATCAAACTCAAATATGCACAGTTATTATTGCTTGGAAAGCAAGGAGCCTTACCTGAATAGAAGGGGCTTCTGGAAACTAAAGTTACAATTGGTGTACTTCCCCTCATCAGCAGTCAGTTTTATTCCTTATGTTTTATTGGTTCCTACTGGGAACTGATAAAATACTGGAACTAATAAAATACTGGGACTACTTCCCTTATGTAAGTCCCATGGCTGTAAACAGACATGTTCACATCCTAAAACTGAAAACTCTTTTGATGTTTTGTTCTGTAGCTATTTCATTTTTGCATCGGTTTCAGCAATGTGAAGCCAACCAAACTGCTATTAAATACTTTCTGTGCCAAGCACTTAACTGTTCTTTGATTTTCTTGAGAAAGACCATTATACTTTTTGACTTCATTATACTCAAGCCTTCAAACTTGAGCCCTTTGTCAATTCCAAACATCATCTTTTGGTGATTCCTAGATATTTTTTTAATCTAAAGATAAGACACACATGGATGATTACAATCTCAAATGTATTGCTGATTTAGTTGTTTTTTTTCTTCTTAAGACTGTTCAAATTGTGTTCAAATGATTCTTAAAATCACCTGCTTTTCCCTCTGTTAGTTGTCAAACTGATACGAAAGCAGCGAAAAGGCTTGGAAATGAGGCAGTACAGCAGCATTCTCTCTTTCTAGTGATAAAAGATTCCTGTGATCTTGCATTTTCACCAAGAAAAAAAAAGGTCCATCATTCCACCCAGTGTCTCTAGACAAATATTTTCATTTTAGGATGGCAAAAGCAGTACAAACCAACCAAGTGAAACACCTCTGTTCCAAGAGGACGTTGTGGTCACACATCCTACGTAGCTGTTTCCTAGCTGGGTTGTTGTGCAGAAGATAAGGAAGGGGCTGTTCTTTTAAACACATTGTGCTTTTTCCTCTCCCAATTCAATCCCTTCAGAAACTGAAAACCTCATATCAGAGAGCATAATACAAAATCAGAACAAATTAGGTTAAAAGAAGAGAGCTTTACAGATATACCTAGACTGAGATGAGATAGCAGATGAAATAGTGGAAGCTGCTAATGACATGTTCTTGGGCCCATGGAAAGGCTTAGGCTGGGAAAGTGAGCTGGGGGCTGCAAGAACTCTGCAGAAGACACATAAAAGCATGAAAGCATGAAAAAAATGATTTAACACAGGCACAAATCAGAACCAAGCTCTGGCAGGATTCAGATACAGAAAGACTGCTGCATAGTTACCAGGAACAGGTTTTCTGTAGCACACATCTGCAGACTTACAGAATAGCACAACCAAGCACATTCCTACAGAACACAAGGTAAAATGCACACATTATGGAAACAATTTAAAACCAGACTCTATCAATAACTAAGAAAGACAATATTACAGGACAGGACTTTTGTCAATGATACATGCTTTTATCTGAAAGATCTGAAGATGTTTGAGTCTAAATACAAGATAAACATTTTACTAGGCTAACAGTCCCAGACAGAAGATTGTCCTATCAAAACTAGAAGTAATTGGAATAATAAGTTTAGTAGAGACTTTTTTTTGTCTGAAGCAGATACTAGGTAATGCATTTTCTTTATACTATGGTTTCAACTGAGGGATAAAAATTACTTAAACCTTATCATTATTTTATGTGGAAGTGCCTCTCAGGCCAGATCTGAATTAGAGCATAAGACCTTATTCAAACCTCCTTTGCTGTCTGGAATAAAACCACTGCATTCTAATAGGTCATGGCTAGGTAAAAATTGACTAAAGTGAGAAACCAATTAGTTGGTATATACATAATGCAAGTCAAACTAGCAAAAATTAATCAAGAAGTAGCGCCAAGAGAACATTTCCAATTCCATTTATACATACCTGAAGTATGATACCTCTGAGATCTCAATTATTTAAAGTGGTTTATATTACTGGAAGTGTGTTTTTCCTTGGATTTTTAAAGCATGCTAAAACAGACATCTTCTCAGAATATTCATGTAGCAAACTCCAAAGATAAAATAATATTATGTACCAAAAACTATCTCCAAAATTACTGTAATGTAAGTGACAGCTGTATAAATCCCACACATTTCCTCACAAGCTGTCTAACAGTTTTTAATATATAACTTTAACTCCCACTGTGCTACAAGTGTTAGGAATGCATCTCCTTGAAACTTACTTCAGCTCAAAGGCTAACTCTCACTAGGAAATAAATATCAGATAAATAGAAATGAATTGAGCAAGTCAATCAAGTGTCCACCATGTTTTACTGATATCTGCTGAGACACAGTAAGCTCAGTCATGTGAGTAAATGACATTTTCTGATTTTCCACTTCTTGTCCTACTGCAGAAACACTATTAAAAGAATTTTCATTCACTGCAACTAATATGAGGAGTTGTTTTGGTTTTATTATAAGTGGTGTAAAAACATTTCTAATTTTAAGCCCAGACTTGCTTTATGAAGTTATTTTTAGCCCAGTTTTATTTTGTAAATTCTATGCAAACATGAAGAACATATCACAAAATTAAAAAAAAAAAACCCACAAAAAAAACCCCTAAAAAACCCAACCCCCTCAAAATATAAAAAAGCATATAAACCAGGTTACAGCTTTTCATACTACATTCTTATGCTAAGAATGTGTATGCAGCATTTCCAAAGCCAGAGGGGTATAAAGCAATGGAGCAATACCTTTGGAAGGAGGATGAGAAAGACTCTTGCACTAGTGAGGTGGTGGCTGGTGCTGTCATCAGGCTGACTGTGTTTGGAGCAGCAGTAGCAGGCTGAGGTGCTGAAGCATGTGGTGCAGGAGCAGCAGGACTGGGAGCCACCGGGGCATGCTCAACAGGGGTACTAATTAGAGTTAAATTAAATAAAACAAGAAGCATCTTAAGAAGGCGTGCATTTACATGGAGAGCATAAAATCTACTATGTTTGAACCTGCAGCTGCAAACATGGTAGCTGGCTGCGTTACTGAGGGAAAAGCACAATTATGCAAAGAAAAATAAGACATTTGTTCAGCCTTTTCCATTGTGCTGTTCAGACTGCAATGGAGTGTTGGTCCTGCTTGACTGAAATTTACCCCAGGTGTTAAAGAGCACTTCAGTTCTGCTCCCACTGATGCCAGTGGTAGGAAATGTGGCACCCAGGACTGAAATGGCTGTGAAGAGCCTGTCACAGTCTTGTGAGTTCATATAAATTCCATCAAATATATTGAAATGAATGATAATAATCTAGTCTTGTATCCTGTGACAATTTAAGTAACTTGTTGAACTACTGCCATCATGTCCCTCAAATTTGAGAATTACTCATCTCTTACAGACAGACAAATGAAGCAAAGCTAGCAGGTTTTATTTAAAATCAGGGCATCACTGTACATAGTTGTCTTGTCCATGAACAGTGGCCTAGAAACCTAACGGATATATGTCTACTTCTTTAGACCTGTGTCATAAGTATATTGTCACATCTCTGTGCTCTTAAAAATTACCCCTATCAGGGTGATGAAATTTGGTGATTCTCTTGCTCAAGGTACATATGCCCAAAATGCTCCATCCTGAGCTCAGCAAGTATCAAATAACAAAAGAAACCTTACAGTTCCACAGCTGTTTCTTCAGGCAACCTTGGCCTTCCAACTCTCTCTCTCAGTGTTTTTTCCTAGGCAGATTTACTATCCATTGTGCAAATTATCTCATATTTTCTTTTGAAAGCAGAAGCACTAACTTGACAAGTTATATTCCTCAGGACATAGAACGAGTGTTTGGTACTTCTGAATTTGGGATACCCCTTGTTCTCCAAGGGACTGTCCCGTTTCCCCTGTCCTTTACCTCCTCTTCTAGAGTTCAATAGTCTACATGATAGTGTCTTAATTCAGCTCAATATTTTGTTTGATTAGCTGAAACAGAAGCTGGTTGTTATGCCCACAAATCTCAGAGTTGAATGCAGCCCTCAACAAAAGCAGGAAATCAGTATTTTCTCCCTTATGGAGATTCATCTGCAATTATATATATATATATATAAGTTCCTGAAAATAATCATCCAGTTTGCAATTCTGGCTTTCAAATCCTTACACCAAGTTTTGCAACAGTTTTGCAGAAGTTCATCCATTGTAATATGCATTTGAGAGTCAGATGATTTCCTCCATCCTGATGCATTTAATGATGTAAATTCTTCCAATTAACTAGTAGACTATAATTTTCACAGCCTGTGTAACAGAGTAGCTGTGTATTATCCATCACAGCTAATCTGGTACTGAATTTCAACACTGTGAAATTTTTCCTGTGCCACAGTGGGTACCAGAATTACCCCATTAAAAGCTGTGGAGTCACAGCTTTCATCTTACATACTTATCTATCTTTGATTTGGCAAACAGGAAAGGACTGAAACTATGCTCCACATAAAAATGGAACTTAATGTATGTGTTAAAAACAAACACAAACTATGATTTCACCTATTTTGTCTATTTGTAAAAAACAAACACAAACTATGATTTCACCTATTTTGTCTATTTGTACTGATGTGAAAGGGAATTTGTTACAGATTTCAAAAATTCAAGACTTCATACCTTGAAGAGTGCAGTGAACTTAATTAATTGCTACTTAATTGTAACAATCTCCAATATAATCAAATACATATTCAGTGATAAATATTGAAAAGAAAGTAAAAAACCCGCAATCCATATGTGTGGACATGGACCTGTGTGGAGACAGATTTGAACAGAACAAACCCATATAAATAAAATAAATGCAAATACACTAGAATACCTCTTAAAAGAAATTCCATCTTGCATAGTGTTTGTAATATTTCTTTTTAAATGATTACAATGTTGGAGGCTTGCTTACCTTCCTTCATGGTAGAATATATTAATTATCAGAATAAGGAACTGGAATAAATATAAGTGAAGTGGATATAACCATAAAAATCTGACTGGTTTGGTTACATAAATTATATGCAGTTGATAACATTCTCAAAACAGTTTTACAGAACATGCTTAAGACTAACTTGACTAGCTTTAATCTATCAATATAAATTTTACATAATTTTATTTGTATTGTCAAATGCAATAATCAAACGCTTTTTTTTTTCCCTCCTCCTTTCTGGTTTTCTAGTCTGATTTTTCATTTTAGTTCTTCAAGCACAGAAGAATTTTAAGAATTGATAAATGTGAGTACTGCTTTATAAAACAGATCATCTAATGCAACAGCTACATTATGACATGTTACAGAGGGTTTTTTGGTTGGTTGGTTGGTTTTTAAAGACAATAATTTTGTACTTTAAATCTTTAAAGTACTTTGTATTTTAAAAGAAATTGAAGAAATCAAACATCTTCATATTTGCAGTAACAAACATAAAAGTAAGTTAGGTGGATGAAAACAAACACACATCTCTTCTCAGCTGATTTTCACTCATGAAAAGGAACACAGATCAGTAGAGGTTAAGAGGATAATAATGGTTAAAAACCATAATGAGAACACAGCAACAAATGCACTCTAACATTTAAAATACAAGTGTAGATTGTACTTTTTTCTCTTGGTGAAGTCCTGAGTTCTGAGACTTTCTATCCCAATAACAAGGAGTGGATGATTAAAACAGCACTTAGTCTCCTTTATGTAATGCATGAAGGTTTTTGTGTTTCTAATCCTCCAACAGATCACTTACAAAGAACCAAACATATAGAGAACCAAAACTAAAATGGATATGGAAAACAATCTGTTATTGCATCATTTGTAGAAGAAAAGTGCCCGAGAAAGTATTTGGAGAAAGCGGTAATGCGGAAGGATTTAATATTTGAATATGGAAATGTTTGTGGAATCCACTGAAAATACAGAAATATCAGCTGCTGCTTCTCTGCTGAAGATGCTTAATGACTTGTCTGTATTGTGGGTGTGATCCTATGAGAGCCATGGAAAATGTAACTCCCACATGAACCAGGAGCTGCTGGAATTGGAAGAACTTGAACGTCTGCCTTTGAGGCAATGGGCATTTCCATCTGAAGGAGTTAGAGGTTGTTATTACCAAACCATTGCAAAGCTCCAAACCGGGTCAGTTATGCAGTTACACGGCACAGTGTACCTGTGGTTACTGGATGAAGCAAGAGGGGCTTTCTGGCCAACACCAGCCTCCCCCTGGCTTGTACCTGCTCCAAGCCTCACAGACCCCTTGGAGGCCACTGGCTGAGCATTGGCAGTGTTGGCATCCCTGGTGGATGACTTAGGAGGATGCCAAATACTCGAGGTCACATACTGGGGCGCATGCGCAGTACCTGTAGGCCTGGGTAACAGAGATTACAAGGGTGTTTGTAAATGAGGCACTTCCTAAGTAATAGCAGGGGTTTGAGGAACAGACAGAATTCCAGCCACAGATGGAGCTGGAGATCATAATGACAATGCAGATGAAGTAATCTTGATAGTTTATTGGTTAATTACTGCTTAAAACCAGGAAAGGCTTGACAAATTAAAAAAAGTACCTCGTGTTAAATAGGGAAATCATATTGCTGTGAATATCAAAATAAGCAGAGCTGTCATGGTAATGGAGGTGGAGAAAGGCTATGGTATGACAGATCACAAAAGATTAAGGTAACATAGGAGGACAATAACACCAGTCATATATCAGAAATTGTTCCTGGCAAAATAAAATAATAGTTAAAAGAAAAGGAGATTTCAGTGAAGCAGCTGCATAGTCCTATAAATGGTTTTACTGGTAAAATTCTGGCATCTGCTGGTGAAATTCTATCATGCTTTGTTTGTTCTTTACAATTTAATTTAGATTCAGGAATCAAGAGTTTATTTGCTTATTTTTTTTATTATTAGTTTAAAAATAAAAACCAATTTTCCCAACTGCTCAAGTGCCAGTTGCCATCGCTTGTGTCATTATTAAAAAATAATGCTTGCACTCAGATATTAAATTTTGCAACCTTCGTTCAAATATAAGCAGTCTTAAAAAAACCCCAAAAATAAAAAGTGGTTGCATATCACTGAGGCAGGAATCAAAATCAAAGAGAAAAGCTGTAGTACAAAATTCTTTTAATGATTAACTACTAAGAGGCCTTTCTTTGCTCTATTAAATAACTGGGCAGATTCACTCAAAAAATACCCGTGTATCAGTACTTGGGGGTTTAATTAATCGAAAACAACACATTTCTATACTTAACTGCAAAATGTTCTGAGATCCTTTAGGAGAAAACAACTTGACATGAAAGAAATTACACAGGGACTGTTTTGAACCTCATAACCCATTGTATCAATCTTGAGTATCAATCAAGATCTGACATATAAATGTTCTTAAAAAGATAATCTTATTTAGATTTTAAAAGCATCTTGAATAGTTTAGACAAAACTCAAAATAGAAATTGTTCTTAAAACTCCATCACAAACTGACAGGACACCATTTCAAGAATATTTGATTTTAAACTTCTTATTTTTCAGGTTTCTAAGTTTTGAGAAACACCTGTTCCACGTCACAGTGCATAAGAAAGAAATGCCTAATGAACCCACTTAGCTGAAGCCTCTACTTTCATCATCTGCTCAAACAGTGTATAAATTTCATGTTTTTGAGGTAAGAACAATATGGAGGAAGTGGAGATCAACTCTTAACAGGAAGTAAATCAAACACAGCAAACATTACCTGTTTTCTGATGCTGCTGCAAGGTTTTCCTTGTCTCTGTGAAAGGAGGGGATACAGTATGAAATAAATGCAATTGCCAGCGACAGCAAAAAACTCCCACCCAAAACAACCAGGGCAGAAGAACATGGGCTGGGGAGAAATGTTTGGTTGCAAAAAGCATCCTAGAGTGGTTGCTCATAAATATAGCTGTGAGAAACCTCTTCAGCTTTCCAGATGAAACCACCAGATATATAAGTTTGCTGTATTCCTCTTATCAGTTGCAAACAACTTTGTTTCAACAATAAAATAAAAGGAAAATTAATGGTTACAAATGAGACATTGTATGTATGCATACAGTTTCCAGAATAATTTTGACTTTAATAAATTTCCTTTTAAAAAAGAATTCAATAATATTCCAGCAGAACATACTTGGATGCCAAATTCAAGCAGTGAAAATAATCAGAGTTGGGCAGTCCTTATGGACCTGCTATTTTGAAGTGATAAGCAGTTAAATGGTTAACAAAAACTTACACAAAAAGGATTTCTTATGCCTGGTATCACCTAAAAATTCTCTGCCCTATCCAAATACTAGTTTTCTCAACCTAAATTGGATTAGAAACAATTCCTTCAACTGGAAATCATTCCTTTGTTGAGGTGAGGATTAAGTCAGCCTCAGTTTCACGGATAGAGAACTGGGCTGTTTTTCTGTAAACACACATACACACTTAAAAAATAACTGATCTGTTTAAATGTAATTGTTTATTTGTAATTGTTTATCTGTAAATTAAGACACAAATAATTTAATAATTAATAGAATTCATAAGCCTTAAACACCTAAATTTGAAATCCAGTTAGTTAAGTAATTGAGATAGTCTCTCTATTTAGCAATTTAATGGGTGATTGTATCCCTTCCTATTTAAGGAATTGAAATTTCAACAGGTTTAAAGCTGAAATATGCCAAATGAGAACACTTTTCTTAAGTGGCATGTAAAATTACAAACTACAAAGCAAATGTCCTCATTTACCCAACTGAACCTTCTTCCTGAAGCATTCTTTGAAAGCAAAAACGGAATACACACACTTCTTTATATGGATTTGCTGGGCTCCAATCATTAACTTACATTATGGTTGGAAGGCTATTCTTAATATTTGTCACATTATTATCAGTACTCTGTTTATGTACTTATACATTTACATGTATACATACAGTCACATATTCTTTCCTCAGTTCAGTTCCAATAAAACTATAAAAACCAATCCAGTTAAAATCAGCAAAGGCTTGGGCACAGGTGCTCTCTATGAATTTTTAAGACCTCTAACTAAAATGTAGCCCTAAAATATATGAATTGAAGCCAGATTTTGAAACACTGAAGTTGGGAAATGCCCCTCAGATGTGTCTGTCTGAGTAAGATGTTCCTGTAGACAGAAGAGCCTGCCTTGAACAGAAATGCCCCAATGATGGCTCACCACTCTGAAGCAATGAGAAACCAAACACTGTCTTTATGGTAAGCAAGCTGTGAGTTCACTGCAATGCCAGCTATGAAACAAGGTGCAGGAGGATGGATTAGAGACTGTGCAGGCGTGGAAGTGTTAATTTACCAAGAGCCATAATCATGCAACAATGTTAAAGGACACAGTCAGGGTCTGGGAACAAAATACAGCACTATTTATCTCCAGTGTTGCCAAATGCTCTATGAGAAATTACAGCCAAGACCAAAAGGCAGGCAGCTGGGGTCAGACTGAAGCAGTGCTAAGATTCTGTTGTTACAATTAATCTGATCATAACTTTTCTGCTCCAATAGCTGTGGATACACTAATCAAGGCAAAAAGAAAGTCACTTGATTCAAGGTCACTTTGAGGTCAGTATTTCACAAAAGCTTTTTCCCCAAGTAGACCATGTTGGATAATGTTGAGCGATGATGGCAGAGGAATTTTGGAGGTTAAAACAGAGAGACAAGTATAGTAAAAATACTTCCACAATACAAAACAAAGGAAAAGGCAGAGAGTAAAGGGGAAAATGAGTTCAAAGGCACAGAACACTTCTTCATGGTTTTGCTTCCAGGACCTATTTCTCTTCCCAGTCAATAGGAACAATTCCCATTTGGCTACCAAGAAGAAAGACTCAAGATCAGATGTGCCCCTGGCTGGCAGTACTTGCATTTTAAGAAACCAACAATTGGATTTCTGGCCTTTACAATCAAAATATTTTTTGCTAACTAAATGCAAAAATAACTTTACTTTTGAGCCAAATACATCCCTTGGGCAGGCTTAGTAAAGTCAATACCTTCACAACATGAAAGAATTTGGCTCAGAATACTATGAGCTATTTGTATCTCTGCCTACACAGGCTGCTGCAATAACTGACAGTAGTGGAGAATAGTTTGGAGTTATCTGGAAGAGAATTAAAATGACTGTGGGGGATTTTTTTCTGTCTGCAGTTGTTTTAGTCCCCACTGAAATGGCTTTTGACAGAAGGGCCTCAGTCAATGACTCTTCTGAGAGAACAGTGCAACTCCCACAGATTTCATTAAATGTTGGACCTGTATTTCAAACAAGACCTATTTATGCAATATACTGTCTTCCCAATTCCACAGTATATTCTACAGTGGAAATGATGAAATATTTTCTTCTCATAAAACATGCTACATGATGTGGTGCTAAGGCAAAGTGAAATGACAGTCTTTCCCTCCCACACACCAACAAGAATTACAATAGTTTGAGTAACTGAAATCAAAATTAATTTGCAATCTAAGCTTGTGTGTGCTATTGGACCCTAAAAATAGCCTGGAGAATCTTCAGAATTTTCAATAAATGAGTATGTTAAATCTGAACTGTATGTACAGGACATTGGAATGCTTTCCCATTCTTTTTTTTTTTTTTTCCCATACTTTATTTTTGGGAAGCAAATGCAAAAGATTCCCAAACATGTACATGTAGCAGGGAAGCTGAAATGTGGAGGTGGGTGCACCTTCGATCTACCATCTTCTTAGATAGTAACAGATCTAGACTCTCTCTCTTGAAAAGCTCTGCTCCATTCCCCTAAAATGTGGAGACAGAATCATATGATGTGCAATGAAGACCTGGTGACATAAAAACATGATGTGTCCTGAGGGGCCACATGGCCCTTCAACTATTCTTTCAGTACTAAAGCAAAAAGTGAACATTCTAATTGAGTTTTTTTGTCTATACTCTTGTGGAGCAAGACTATTTTTCTAATTTTACAAATGAGAGACTAAAATGTAATAGATTTGTTCATGGTCTAAAAGAAAGTCCACAGCAGTGTAAAGAACCGAAATAAGCTCTCCCAAACCCCAACTGAGCATTTAAAATATCAGTTCACTCTCTTTAATGAGGTATTATAGATTTTAAAATAAATATATATGTTCAGTTCATCAGTATTTTACTTTATTGAAAACCCAATATAGTCTTCTACTGAGTCTGACAAATATACAATCTTTTTTCAAAGGGGAAATAAACACACAGATTATTAGAGTCTATATTTATTGAAATTAAAAATTCTTTTTTTTTAGTAGTATAGTGTGGATTTGCAGGCCTAATCAGGCTTATAACTTTCATCCTAGCATGTACTTATATTTATATAAGCAGTTTTGCCTACAAATAAAATTTCCTTTTATTAAGTAAAACTAAAAGTAATTTTAAATAAATTGTTATAGGGAGTAAAGTTGTGTGAAAGCTATTTTATAATTGCCTCCCAAACATTTTTTGTCTTGAAGGCATGAGACACTGACACTGTTGGAAACTGGACACTGAGCTAGATTAACTGCTGCTCTGATCCAGTCAGTCTGTTTCTACCTTTCTGTGTTTGCAGCTGAGAATTTTTCCATGGTAAGATGACTATTGAGGTTGCTTGCCTTTTTTTTTCTCCCATGCTGTATTTCTGTTCTTTTAACAAAGACACCAGAAGACAAACAAAGAAATGACAGGCAGTTAACTGGAGAGGACAGAAGATGACTATCAAGCTGGTTTAGTTAACACTTCAGTTTTGGATCACAAAGAGGGGTAGAAGAGCTAGTCTCTCTTTTTCAGCCACTGCAGTTAAGAATGTGAGCAGCCCACGCCAAAACAACTGCAATATATCCTACTATGTTTTCTTTCCAAAACAGGGAAATACTTTTCCCACCAGGAAACCCTGCTTTGTGCAGACAGTGCCACAGAATAGGAAAAGCATTATTATATATTCAGTGGAAAACAATCAGCAGCTGATTCTCAACACATAGTGTGGAACTCCAGAGAAGCAGCTCACTAAAATCCAAGCCAATCCCTCCTATGAATGCATTTTAGTGACATCTACAGGTTTGCTGTTAAATTTAACAGTCACAGAATAAATGCAGCTGGACATACAGCAGCATTAGTGCTGGGGAAAGGTAAGGTAACTCTTGCCCAAGGTTTACATTGTTGTATTTAGCATATGAACTCCAATTTTAAATTTTATCTTATTGGTAAAAATCCATCACTTTAGTAAGAACAAAGACTGCAAAATTCTGAGCATGTGTAGCAATTGGAGCTGGGAATTAATTCAGATAACTATTTCCTATCTTGGCCTTAAGTGTGCAATTCGATTTGATGGAATGCTTCCCTGTAGCTTTCTATAGTCCCATAGAAAGATGGGGCTGCCACCAGGCACCTGAGCACAGGATCCAAACTCTCAGTCTGTGATCCTGACCACTACAGAAAAAAACAATGCACAACAAGTTTGGGGTTTGTACACCAGGAAACAATTCCCCTCTCACTGAAATGTTCTTTCTCTTTGTGACCTCATTTTTCTCCAGTGAAGCTGAAGAAAGAACAAGAACTCAGAGGTTTGACTTTCAGGGGGTTGTTTTTCAGACCTACTTTTTAATTGTGCACATTGATGATAAGAAAATTCATTTTTCCTCTACATGGCATTAAGCTAAGATTGAAGCTGTCCCTGAAACCCAGCAATGTGTCTGTGTTGTTCAATTTCTGAACCAAATAACTAAGTGGTATGAATTAGAACTGTTGTCATTTTTCCAGTATATGCATTAAATTGTATTTCATAAGCTCTCTCAAGGACT